CGCTGCGACGACACAAATGCACATTCAGCGTAACCTTTTCTGACAGATACTGTATGTGAGATAAGGCATTAGGTACATAAAGGGGAGGGGCTGTGTGGGCTGTCCACAGAGATAAAGTCCATCTATTGATGACATGAGGAAGTGGCAGTGACAGGCCGCTGACAGCAGGGTCAATACGGAAAGGAAGGGGAGGGGAGAGGGGGAGGTGGAAATGGGAGGACATTGTCAATCATTAGAGCTAATGACGGAAGAGAAACACACACACACACATACACACAACACGACCGCATGCAGGGACATAACCTATGCACGGAATCACAGTTTGAGCACGAGTGCATGAGGGTCTGGACAAATAAGGACTTATTGATCCCAAGCACGGGGGAGTGATGTGGTTAAACATGAGGTCACAACTCAACACGAGCACAGTGGGACGTTACATCAGGGGGCACGAAGAGGGCGAGGGCTTGAATAGCATGAGACGATTGGTTTCTGTCTCATTTCTCAAAGAACAATTCCATTTTGTGGTTGAAAAAGTAGGAAAGTACTTGATGCTAGTCTGACTTTCTCATTAACTTATTCTAATCCAAAAGTTAACAAATTTTTCAAACTGACACTGCTAATATTAGAGAATATTATATAATAAAAAATTAAGATAAGTCAAATTACACATTAGCATATCCAGCAGTGTGGCACCTCTTCAGTCTTCTCTATCATAACTGAACAAATCTTTTTTTTCAAGTTTTCTAGATGGTAAAATATCTCCAAGTGATGACATTGTTGTATATTGGGTTTCTAGAATTGCACATTTTTTAATGACAAGACTGAATATTTTGATTATGGTTTTTATTATTATTATTATAAATGTTATTGTAGACTATGAAAAGTCACTCTAAGGGTAAACAAACGTAAATGTCGTTTTAGGAAGATTTTTAGCCAATGGTCAGAGCTCACAAGAAACACATTGACCTTATGTCAGTGGTGATCAGCGCAGTGATTGGCTGTAATAACCGTGATGAGACTGATCAGCTTCAGCAGAGGTCTGCAATTAGTGGATGTTAGGTCTACGTGTAACAGAATTTACCTGTAATTCGATTCCGAGAGACGCTATTAGACCCTGGATCTTGTTAGAGAGGTTGGTCAGGTTAAAGGATATCATAAGACGAATCTGAAAGTCACTGAAGGGTTTTTAAACAACCACAGCCCAGTCACAGTTATCATCTGCATTTTCATTATGTTCCAGTAATTACAAGTAACTTAGTAAATTATGGTCCTGATTGAAATAACAAAGAATGGATGTAATTAAAAACTAACTGAACAAAGAATGGATGTAATTAAAAACTACTTCTAAACTTCTTTTCTTTTCTTAAGAATATCTGCTTGATCTTTTTCTCTATAATTTGACTATAAAATGACTTTCTTGTCATTTTTTCCTGCATTGACACAGCAAAGTACAGTTATAATAAGATTAGAAAGCTGAGAAATTCCGAGAACGATTTTTCTCCCCTTAAATCGTCAGAGACAGATGTGTAAAGAGACATGACGAAGGTGTGAAAATGAGGAGAGAAAAGTGAGGCTGAAGTGAAAGGAATAGGTGTAGGATTGGTGATGACAGCAAGTTGAAAAAGGACAGAAGAAAGTCGAAGGAAAAATGTAAGAATTCAGGAAAGACGGGAAATGTGAAAAGACTGACCTGAAGGGAGAGAGAAAAAAAGCATTACAAAACATTAAGAAATTCAGGAAAGACGGGAAATGTGAAAAGATTGACCTGAAGGGAGAGAAAAAAAGAAAACATTAAGAAAATGTATGACATTAATTGTGACAGGTGAGAAGAGGACACAAGTGTGTGTGTGTGTGTGTGTTTGTGTAGTAAATTGCCAGTGACACTGCCAGTAGGCTGTGACATTAATTAGCGGGCCGCAGTGATGGCCGAAACCTGATCTCTAAGTAAGGGGACACCAGGGGGACACATCACACACACTGCTGACCTCACATCCTGTGACTTGGGACCAGATGTAAACATGGAGAGGGTTTTTGTGTCTCAATGTGGACGAAGTGTCAGTGTGTATCAGTGAATCATAAACGTAGATGCTGACTTTTATAAAACCACAACCCCAAAAAGGGAAAACAACAAGAACCAAAGGAAAATAATAAAATGTGCAGCTCTCATAACAGCTACTCCAAGTCAAACCACACAATGAACATTCACACTGGGCCTGGAAGTATTTATTGTTTAGTTTGGAAACAAAGTGGATCCATCAAAAAGGAGAATGTTGTAATTTCTTGAGAATAATATTAAAGGGCAACAAAGCTGTTGTTGTTGATCAAAACAAAAGTCAGAAAATCTGTCCAAATGCAGATGTTTTTGACAGCAGAGAATGTGTTTAAAATGACACTGAAGCATGATTTCTGCTCCTGTTCTAATCAGATACAGCAGGAACACAGGTCATGGATACGTTTCACCTCATCTGCACAGAATTAACAATCACTGCATTTCTAATAAAGCGGCTGTTTTACAACTTAACAGTGTTTCTGCAAAAAAAACATTAACACAAACTGTTGACTGTTCAGTGACCAGTTGTCAGTGTTAGTGTTAAATGAAGATGATTTCTCACTGTATTAAAGAGTTCATGTTATGATGTCCATCATTAAACATTACAGTTCTCAATGTAAAAGGACTTGAAGCTCACATGCATTTATAAGCAGTTCTTGCCCTTCAGCCTTACACAGAGTTTGGTACCGACAACCTGAATCAATGTATCACATGCTATGAGTCTTGTAATTCCTCAGTACGTATAACTGATACTTTTTAAATTTTAGTTTGTTTTGTTTTTGTTCAGAATTTTATAGCTGCTCAGTCATTAACTTCACTTTCTCTCACTTGGACCCAGGGTACAGTCAACAGTAGTGGGTGACATCAGATGTGTGTAACCCTTGGCCTGGAGGGATCGCATGTCGCAGTCTAACCTAAACACACATGACACAAGTCCACAATTGTGACAGCCCCTTATGGTAAAGCAGGTCAAAGGTCAGCGGGATACCCTGAGAGAGTTATATATGAATAAGGGGAGTTGGGGATAAAAGAGAGAGAGAGGTAGAAGTCGGCTTTCATTCAGAAGTCTGAGGAGTTGCAGGGCTCAGACATACACAACCGTTTAGCGCTGTTTACAAAAACCAGCAGCAGAACCAATCCAAACCATACGCCATGTGGAGACGACGGGGTGAGTGCGTCGCACCATGTGTGTCTGTGTGACTCTGTGTGCGCTGGGCCAAAACAGCAGGACCCAATGCAGAAAAAGCAAAACAGATCTGATGTTTTCCCCTCTCGGTGCCTCTAACAGAGCAGGGTTCCAGTTTCCTCCTCATTTTCCCCATAGTTTCTTCCGTAGCTTGTCTGGTTTTGCATCTCTACACCACCTTCCTGTGGGTCCACAACCACGGTCAGATTTCCCAGACACCATCCCTACCACGCCACGGATAAAGCTGTTTTGAGTTTCCTTTCATCGGGTCTAAACAAATACCAGGACAGTGAAGCCCGGTGGTGTGAGGAACAAGAGAGTTTGGGACCTCAGTATCGTGTGTGACAACACTGGAGCGTTCACTGTAGGAGCTAACGCACGCACAGCTAACTGCTAATGACAGATGCTGTGGTCAGACATATGCAACGTATTGTGGAACATTAAGAGCCATGCAATTTCAGAGCATTTTTGTAACATTACCAAAGTTAAACAGGTACTTTCTCAACAAGCTCATTAGATATTGAACATGATGATGTTGTGTTTTATCTTTTCCATTATTGAACATGATGATGTTGTGTTTTATGAGCTCTTTTCCAAAAATAATTATCCTTCATACAAAAGCATATTTGTTAAAAAAAATGCTAGGAAATGTAGAGCAATTTCTCTTTATTCAGACCTTCGTGTGATTTGATGTATTTGAGTCACTCAGTAAAACTAATAATTACCCAAATGACTGATTTTTAAAATCACAGTTTTGATATGGTCTGAAAAAGCCTGCTGCTTAGTGATAACAGGGCTTGTAATTGGAAGATTGCTGGTTCGAATCCCGGCCCTGGCAGGACTGCGTTGTGTTCAGCAAGCACAGAAACTCCCTCACTCTTGAAAGTGTAGAGTTGTGTACAGTAATTGATTTTAAAATGTCTTTAATCCATTTCCAGATGATTCTCAGTCTCAGTTGTGGGTTCCAGGTCCAACTCTATGCCCTTTACTCTATGATTGTCTTTCTTTTTATTAGCCATAAAACATCAACATGATGTCACGGTCTCTTTACTCATAGTTCTACTGTAGACATCTTTCAAACACCTCTTCCTCTTCCTCTTCCTTCCATTTATAACCTGCCTTTGAATGTAAGGAGTTTTCGACTCCTCTTCCCTCCTCTCACCTACTTCACACCCTTATGCTTTACAAAGTCGTCCTAACTCTCCAAAATCCCCACCCCGTCTCCACTTTCACCCCACCCCTCCACCCTTCATCTATCTATTACCCACTATCATTTTCAGCTCTCACTCTGTTTCTTGCCTATCCATACTGTGTTACCTTAGATTCCCAGAAGGCAGGGTCTCTGGACAGTGAGTGAGAAGATTGTGTGTGCATGTGCATTAAAGTCAGTGAGAGAAAAGAGGAGGAGGAGGAGGAGGAGTGAGGAAAGGAGAGAGGGAGAAAGAAAGAAAGAGAATCCCTCACGGCTGTAAAGATATAGAAGGACACTCTGGAGACCAGGACTGAAGGACTGTCCTGCTAATGAGGAAGATAGGATAGAGCTGGAGGGACGTGTGTGTGTGTGTGTGTGTGTGTGTGTGTGTGTGTGTGTGTGTGAGAGGGAGTGAAATAAAGAGAGAGGGAGGAAGAGTTCCTGCATGTAAATTATCTGGACGCAGGTCTGTCCGTGGATAATTGTGTATGTGTTTGTGTACGCGAGTGCATGGGAGGATGAGTACGTGTGTGTGAGGATCCTTGTGGGAGTGTGTGTGTGTGTGTGTGTGTGTGACTGTGTGTGTGTGGCCTCAGCCAAGTAAGTGCTCCATATATTTATAGTTGAATGAGCTGAAGCAGTGGTGAATATGAAGCAACTGCCAACTAATGAGATAAAAAATGTGTGTGTGTGTGTTTACCTAAGTGTGTGTTTACCTAAGTGTGTGTACCCTAAAATAAAATACCTATTACATACATCAAACAACCAGGGTTTGAAAACTACTGTGTGTTTACTCTATAGGCATCTCTAGGCAGGGTGCATATGTGTGTGTGTGTGTGTGTGTGTGTGTGTGTAACCTTCTTGGCTGTTTGCAATTGTCAGTATTTTAGCTAACAAATGCATGTAGAGAGAGTGAACGAGCGAGCGAGCGAGAGAGAGAGAGAGAGAGACAACTCACTTCATCTGACATTTCAGCCTGCGGGTAGTGCTGAGGGACAATAACACATTGACACACACTTAAATACACACACACACACACACACAAACACACATCTAATTAGACGAAGAAGATATAAAGTGGGCGAGATGAAGTCGCAGACAGCAATCCAGAAATAATGTGGGGTGAAAGTCGGAAGCAGAGAAAAAATATTTCCCATACAAGCCATGGCTGAGAGTTATTATGTTATCATGATGAAATACAGCACCAACCACGGTGTCGTTCAGGAACAGGTCAACGGGGGTCAAAGCCTGGCTCAGAGAATAGGATCGTCCAATAGAAGCAGCCCTGATGATTATCATCTAGCCTTTGTGGAAACATGTGGTCACAGAGACACAGACATGTGGGAACGATAACGCTTCCAACAGGCGAAATTTAGCTCCGTGTCATGTCTACAGGTCAACTACTGAAGAACCAAGGATGTAGTGTCTTTGACAGCCAATGTTTCTGAGTCTGTCTGCTCGTAAACCTTATAACTTCTCCTTTTTTTAATGCACATAAGAGAATTACAAGTACGAACATGTCTTTAAAGTACGGTCACAATCAAGTAATCAAGGAGCAGTCACAGCTGCCTCATCAGCAAAGACGACGCTGCACTAAAGGACATTAGAGGAAAGCTTGAGAAAACACACAGATCGTTTACCAGAAACCGGCCCATCTGGAAGACCAAGCGGTGCAACCTGATGCCAAAGGTCAAACTCCATAACAGCAATTGTCAGATCTCTTCATTTAAAGGCTTCAACTGCTGACGCACGGTTAAGCAAGAAGGTAAATCAATGCCTTTCATTTGGTGATGTCTGATCTGTTCACCTCTGAGTGAATGTGCTTTGTCTGAAAAAAAAAACAACCAGAAATTCATTTAAATTCAATTTACTCTTTTTTATATCATGAAAGGGAAGGAGTTCTGAAAGTATTAGTCTGTACGATAAGGACACATTAAATGTTGAGTTTGTTAGTGTCCTTGAATTCACTGTGTTGAGACATAAAATCGTTCCCTAAAAAGAGACCAAAGAAGACAGCATGAAATATTTATTTAATTTAAAACAAATATCCAGGCTCAAAACAAGGCTCTATATTAGAACAGCGAGAGTTGGCAGCTGTAAAAGACCAGGGACAGCTCAATACAATTAGCTGGCTTTAATATTGATTCTGAATGCAATAACACTATATATTTAACATAATAAACATATAATCGGGAACAAACGTATCCATTAATATGGATTCCTCAGACACACAAAGGAATTTTCTCCAAACTCCTCCCTGTGCTGTATTTGTTCTTGATGTGGGAATCGAACTTACAATCTTCTAAAAACAGGCAACAACACCTTGTAATTACTACTAAGATTAAAAAACCTTGTAAAATACAATAGAAAAGAGAATTATTTAATAACTTTTTGTTGTCCAACAAATGGATTCTGGCCAGTATTTGACCAATGCAGACTTTGAACATCATCAGCTCATCTTTAATAATCATACGGTGACACGACACTCTAGGCCACTGGAGCCTCTCTTCCGTTTTTAAACCAAGATAATTCTGCTTGACATTTATTCCTAATCTTTTTAACGTAGGTTGTATGAAGTCATAACAAACGTTCTCTCAAACACCCGTCGCAACACAAGCTGTACTCTGTTGCAACAACATCGGCCGCACTCGTCCTTACTGTGTCCTCCTCAGCGTCCTGACAAAACCTGTCAGGTTAGCCACCACCAGCTTGTACACTACCCGATCTCCCACTTAGTGATCTCCGTTCTGTACTTTTCCTACTCCGCCTATCTTATGCTCTCACCTTCAGCCACGTCTTCTCCTCGTCCTGATACCCTGCCGCTTTTCCAATCTGTCCACTCCTATGTCCCTGCCCTGCTCTGCCAGCTGGCCAACGACAGCGCCTCCCCGAGGGGAGAACAGGTGTAGCGACACACACTCCACTGAGCACACCGCTACCTGTGGCATCGGGCAGGCATGAGGCCCAGTAATGAGCAAATGTGCGGATAAAGACGAAACGCTTGTGTTCGTTTATAGATTTACCTGTTGTGCAAAAACTAAAAAGAAGCAAAAAAAAATAAGCACAATATTTCTGAGGAGGACAGAGTCAGTATGACATAATGTTTGGAAGGTTCAAGATCCTATATGTATATCTGCTATAGACAGATAGATAGAGCTCATACTGTATATATAAGATCATAATCTGTGGGCATTGAGATGAATCCTGGAGGCTACAACAGAACAGGCACTGAATTATTCCATCTGGAGAAATTTCTTTTTATACTTTAAAAGAGCAAAAAAAAATAATATATAATGTCATACTGTGTTTATCCTTCTATTTTAGACATGGAAAAAACTCTTGTGTGCATCCAGAAAATCAATTCTGATCTCGTGCCCAAAAGTGAAAGATTGATTTGTCTGGTTTCTGAGGCTCAGTTTGTTTTTTTGGGGGGGAGGTTTTTTTGGGTTCATTTTGTTTCCAAAGGCAAAGAAAATGGTTGTTTTGTCTCGCCTGCCTCTTCATCCAGAGGGAACAGTGAACTCTAACAAGTCCAGTCAGCAACCTCTTGACCTCAGTGACCAAGGGAGACATTGATCATACTAACACCAGGATTAGCAATGCACCATGGGATTTGAAGTCCCCTAGTAAAGATATGCCTTGTTTTCCCAACAAAGATCTCCATTCTGTCTGTGAACTTCTGTTTCCAGACCATGTGGATTTCACTAAAATGGGCAAATTAGCAGCATTTACAGATAGGCACCACTTTTTAAGACCTGCATTAATTACATTTGCAGACATAGTTAAGGTTTACTGCTGTTTGGGAATAAATGTTATCTTAATCGCTGGGCAGGATCCCTTTGGACTTCATTTGGATGTGGATCACTGAGACCCAGCGGCTCTTTTGGGGACAGCTGAAGACATCTGAGCAGTTAGCTCCAGCGGCGTTTGTTTGGGTTTTTTTTACATGGGATGTAATGTGATAGAAGTGGCTGCGACAGGAAAAGCTCACTGCTCTTTTTACAATCCAAAGTCAATGTGTGCCATGGTGAGGAGATGGGGGAGGAGGAGAAAAGGTGGGTGGATTTGATGTGAATCCACTCGACGTCTCTTAGGGGGGGCTGAAAGAGGGAAGAATTAGATTAGTGGTAGAATGCAATCAGCGTGACTGCATTACTGAGTTTGATGAGAGAGCCGGGAGAGAACAGGGATGTGAGTGACGAGATGCTCCACCGAGGAAAAACTTTTGGAGACTGCGCCGCCTTTGCCAAAAGAGCGGATACAGAAGAGCGAGAGGGAGGAGGCGACCCGTGACCACAAATGTGAAATATCTCAAAAAACCACAAAGCCAGCAAATCGATTGAAAGGTTCTTTAAATACATACTGTATATCATCCTTTCTCCTCCCGCCTTCCTTTGTCCTCTTATTTTCTCTACAATTAAATTACTCAAATACCCGAAGAGGAAAAAGTCACGGTCCGACCAAACAACATTATGGAAATTACATATGACTTTGAGGGGGAAGAAGGACTTTTTATATAACACTGGATCAGAGGGACAGAAGGGAAGGGTTGGCACAGGTTTTTCCATTTTGTCCTGCTGGTTTAATAAAAGATCAGGTTTGGAGTGAGGAGTGGAGGCAGCTCTGAGCGGGAAATATCGTGCTGAACGTGCAAGCGGTTTCCTTTTACACTATTTACCCTGACTACAAACCTAATTAGCTCCAATCAGATTCAGTGTTTACACTAGCATCAGGACATGATTAAGTGAAACCTAGCATCCCGCTCTCCTGTTACCCCCCGCCCCTTACAGTGGATGGTGACTCTCCCTCACGCACACAAACACTCAGGAAAAGCACACAAACACACACTTAAAATACACTATTTACAAAATAGTCTTCAGAAGCCTAATAAAGTAGAGTACTAAACCATTCAGTTCTGAGGGTTAAAATTAAAAAAAAATTAAAGTTCACTTTTACTGAACAGCGTTGCCATATAAATTTGAAAGAAATAAAAATTGCCTTTACACATTTAAAAAACCTGCAGCCAGATTTCTAAGGTTTTTAAATCTCACAGCTCCGTGTAACCATCAGATATGTAACCTAAATTAATCTTAATGTTACAGCATTGACGTGTGGTTGCATCAGGTCAGTCAATAATGACACAACGCAAAGTTCTGTTGACACCCTATTCCCACTGCCCCCAAGTGGCAGGGGACCCAACCTCACTGCAGCCCATCGTCGACGTTCAGCGCTTATGGGCAAATTTTTCATGTAACAGCTTTGAAGTGAAAGGTTTCTTGAAGTCAACCACCCTGAGCAAACTCTGAGTGCATTCTTCATGTGCCGACTGAAAAAAATAATCCCCCCCCACCCATTTAACACCAACATCTGGTCTTAAACCCCAAACTTCCAGTGGTCTATATGCCTGTACCTTATTCCACTGCCAAGTACAACCCTCTATCTTGCGGCACAGAAAGCAAACAGAGTGAAAGCCGTTGGGCAAACACAGATCTAAACAATGATTGTTTGGCGTCTGGATCTTTTTTCCTTCCGTGTTGTTGGTTTTCCCCCTGGTGGCTCAGGTTTTAGTGGTTTGCCTCTCCCTCAAAGCAGGAAATCATAACACATCTCCAGGAGGCGACCGAAGCTGAACGTCCATGTGCAAACTATGTTGACGGATGCAGGCGCAGGTTCGACTTATCCTCACATATTTTGGGTCAAACGAAAGCCATTTGGATTAAATGACTCGTTTGGAAAACACGAGATGGAACGCATTTGCTGTTGTCGTCGTTCATCCTGTGAAGTTATCCCATCCCGACAGCTAACATTTAGAAACCTTACCCATAATGCCACATCCCTGAATATAAACACATAATGAATTCTTGGCTAATTTGCTCTCTTATCTTGTTAAATTACACCCTGTGAGCTCCTCTGGGAGCGTAATGACAACTTCCTCTAGTGGTTCACAGGCTTTACAAGGATCAGAGGGTGTGTGTTTGTGTGTGCAACATGTAGATGTGTGTGTTTCAGAGGATGCAGTGTATTAACTGTGAGAACTCATTTAAAGCTACTGCTAATGGTAAACTGGGGTGGGGGGGGATGAAGGTCTCTAAAACCAACAAACCTGCTATTGTTTCACCCCAAACACCTTTTTTTTTTTCTGCCTTACTCACACACACACACACTCACACACACAGAGCCTGTCTAGAGACATAATGTAGTGCACGACTTGGACTCGGAGTGCGACTGTAGTATTTGTGTCTGTCTATGTGTTTTTCTCGCTCTGGCTGAGCTGCCGTGTTTCTTCCCATGACCAAATCCTATACAGAGCGGGTTCCATGCCGGCTGTTTGGACAGAAAGAACATTCTTGGACAGACCGGTGGAACGGATATGAGTGCCAGTAGTCTTCTGCTTATGTGAATGTGTGGAGGACAGGAGATGAAAGGAGGAGAAAGATGAGGCTGGACTGGGAAAGGATTTTGTATTTACAGTCCAGGAAATTTCATCAGTGGTGTTTTCAGTGGGTCTGAACAATATGCAGGAAATTTCATCAGTGGTGTTTTCAGCAGGTCTGAACAATATGTGTTGTTGTCTCCTCTGAATACAAAGACCATCTGTATGTAAATGTCAGCACTAATAAGCAGTGATGAATGTCTAATGTTTTTAAACTGTACTCCACTGAGGATACCAACAGTTACAGTGAGTCACTGAGGTTAAAGACTTTTCTGTCTCGGGCTCATCTGCTCTTCTTTCGAAGTTTGACTTTCTCTTACACTTTCTTTACCACTGTGTTAGACATTTGACACCAGACATGATTTTATTTCCCTGACTCCATATCATTTGCTCTGACATAATGCCCAGGTGCCCCCTGTCTGCGTCATTCTAGCAGTTTTACCAACCTTTCACCCCGTATATATTTCCCTGACAGTAGCTGTGTTCAGAGTCTCGTCTCTGCTCTGATCTGATCCGTCTCCTTCATCCTGTCCTCTAGCTGTTATCCACACACCTGCTCACAGCACGTGCTACAGTACGTCCAGACCTAAAAATAACTTCTCTATCTCTATCTGACATTTTAGACCATATGCATCAGACTAAAGCCTGATTTATAGTTTCATGACGTCTCCACGCAGTGAGCTCTGAGAGTGCTGCGCCGCAAACATTCATCTCCTCAGAAGTGTAACGGCAGGTGTTAAACAGATGCGATTTGGTCAACGCGGAATCACCATTTCACCGAAGCACATTTTTATTTAACGCACTCCGCTTCCAGTGAGGTCAAATCAAGGACGCATGAAAGTATTACATATTTTTTTAAATATCATAAACTGCAGGAAACAAAGTGCAAAGACATTGTTGGAGCAGTCACAGGGTCAGATGAGGGACAAATGAGAATATTCTGCACTCAACATGAGCTACATGTCAGGTGCACTCATTAATTCAAGCCAAAAACAATTTGTCTTTATGTCTGTAAATTTGAATTTATTTTCAATGATATTTTTTATGTCTTTGCTACAGAGAAAACACAAATGAGGAGGGGGGTAATTTCACAGGAAGTTGAATCGCTGAAGAAGAGAGTGGACCAAGTTCTTATTAGCGAGATTCGAATGTTTTACTCAGGCATCAGCTGCTGGTCTTCCACTGTGGTAAAGATCTAAAGATATCAAACTAAACTCAAATGTTCTCAATGTGAAAAGGTCAAAGAGCATGATAACAGAAGGTGATGATGAAGCATATTTTTATGTATAAACTGTAATTCAGGACACTGGAGGTCAGGGCGCAGTGAACATCCTCCACAGCACAAATCAAAATGTCAGCACGTCAGCGATTGTCTTTGTGTAATTATCGTTCACCTTGCCCCGCTGAAGAATCATGGTCAGTCAGACGGTGTGACTGATGTTTTAATCATCACCGTGTGAGCGTGTGCACACAAACACACGTGCTTACACACCCGTGTGAGCGTGTGCACACAAACACACATGCTTACACACACATACATGTTTTAAACACCCAATCTGTGCCTCTGAGGAACTGTAGAACCAGAACCTTTGCTAACTGAAGTGAATGAGGGAAACACAGAGAGAGAGAGAGAGAGAGAGAGAGGAGAGAGAGTTGATTACCGTACGCAGACATAACATTTTGCACTGCTGCTCTCAATTCAACTCAGGTGTTCAGATCTCTTTATGACTCTAGTGCTCCCTCTTTTCTCCATCTTCCTCACCCTCATCCTCCGCCCCGTCTTCTCTCCCTCTCTCTGACCCCTGCCTTTGTTGATCCACCTCCCTGACACTCTGCTCCACCTCCTTTCTCCCCTCCTCTCTCCCCCTTCTATCCATCTTCCTCTCATCTTTTCTTTGATGTGGTGATGCAGGGTTATCTGGGGTTCTCGTCTAAGGGGAAAAGGTAGGGGGTGAGAGTGATTGAGTAGGGGGGAAAAAATCAAGAGGAAGAAAAAGAAAGGGGCAGCAGCAGGGGAGCGGCTCTTGAGATGATTAGGAATCCCCCCTCCCACTCTGTGATATCTCTTTCAACTCACCTTCCACTTTCACCTGTGAGAGGCAAGTGAAGTGAGAGATATGGGCAGATTTCTTTTTTTGAGGAAAAAACACCTCACTGGATAAAAGGATGACTTAAAAAAAATCTAATTCTAGTCTGAAAATCTCTAGCCATGGCCAAAGTGGTCAGTGAAGCATGGCAGAAAACCAGCATGACCTAAATCAGCATGCTACAGTGAAGATGCCTCTTTCTCTGTGTATTTATAGCTGGGTGTTTTTTTTTTCTTCTTCTTAAATGTAGGTCTGTGCTGTTCTTTTTTGCATATTCAGCAAGTGTCACTGTTCAGATTCCATTGTACGTACTGTACGTCTGTGGCATCCACTTCACAAAAATGGAATTGGAAGCATTTGCTAGCACTTAGAAAGAAAAAAAAACACAATTATAGAAGGAAGAAGCCGAGAGAGAACTGAGATCTTTTTGGAGATAATTGAGCTGTTTTGGAGAAACACACGTGCCTCTGGCTGAGGGAAAGACAGAGTGGTTTTTTCCACCAGTGCCCTCCTGGACATCCAACCATCACTTAGCATGCCAATATACAAGGGTATGTCAAAAAGTTCTAGGATAAATGTAATTATTACATTGATTCTAGTCTAAAGAACGGGTTGAAACATGTTGAGAGCTATTTACCAACACAAATCTACCAATGTCATCAATATGTGACATTAAAGGCAGAGCAATGAGTAACACATACGTTCATCGTTCGCTCCAGAAATGTGAGACTATTTGTAAAAAAATAAAAATAAAAAATAATAATGGACAGACCTCAATGGAGTAACAACTCAACAAAATAAAAAATAAAAAATCATAGTACACATTAGATCAACGGGCCATGGTGCAGTCTGATGAGAGCAGGTATTCTGAAGAATAAAGTCGTCACATTCTTGTTAAATAATAAATGGTCTGTAATTAGACTACTGCCTGGTCTCCAAAATGACAGTTCAATACTGCAGTTTTACCACACTCAAACATTTATATGCAGAGAGAAGGTAATTCTCTCTAACAAATCCTTTTGTTATAGACAGGCGGTTGGAGACCACAGTGATCCACAACGACATGATGTGAAGAGAGGCTCAGTGGTGACGAGTACGGAGTAAATACATTTGTACCTGAACTCTGAAGGTTACCACACTCAACCTTCAAGAGACTTATTAAGTCAAATTTATTCACAGGTAATATAAAGAGTCACCTACACACACACACACACACACACACCGCAGCTGCTCCTATCACCTCAAATATACATGCAAACACGGCCTCTCTTACACCTTCTCTCACAAACACACACATGGAAAGGTTGTGTGTTGTTTGTGTGCCTGGAGAGTCACTAATTAAGAAGCACTTAGCTCTGTTCAGGCTGAGGCCGAGGACCAGAGACGGCCGCGTAATGAATTGATCAAAGGCGTACAGGCGTACCTGATCAATATCAATAACACTTTTCACACGTGATGCCCATCATGTAATTAACACACACTTAGGCCGCTTTCACTCACACTGTTTGATCCAGAGGCTAAGACTTGGTCTGAACTCGAAGGAATCAGACATGGGAGGTTTATGTACAGCCATAAAGAAAAAAACGGGTAAAAAAAAAAAGTTCTAAAGGAAGTCGATCTAATTGTACTAATATTTGTTTTAACTATATTTATATCTATGTAAATTCATTTTTAGTTACGAGTTCACATTATGCAGTGGCCATGTCCCTGTGGTGTGTTTAAGTGTGTGTACCTGCTGGTGCCTTGGCTGAACTCAGGTGCTTCCTGTGCTCTGGCAGTGGGAGGGGTCCAGTATCCCCTGCAGGATGTGTTGATTAGTTTGGCCTGAACCATGCGAGGAAAACCTGCCACATGCTTGGTGGACTGAACCAAAGTGAAGTGTGAGTGAAGCTGTGTGAAGGAAACACAGAGAGAGAGAGCAGTTCAGGAACAGCACAAGGACAAAACACCAGGGTCTCCGCTCCGAGCGGAACAAAGGACGTGGACCGTTGTGTCCAGTTCAGACGTATTTATCCGCCGGGTGAATGTGCTACACCAGCAAAACTCTTTGACAGGCTCGGACGAACTTACAGCAGGATGTTAAAAAATACCCTCAAAGAAAATCTGCACCGTGATGTTAAAATCTGTTTAAAAGCGAGTGAGTGGTTTTCACTGAGACGGTGTGTGATTTAGGTGACGCAGAGGGCAAAGAGAGGATTGTTGTCTTTTGTCAGCACAAAAAATGTGCTGCACTTCACAAAACTCATTTCTCTTCCACTTGTGAGTGGACGGGTCAGAGTGAATGTTGGTTCTCACCCGCGGCTCCTCTGCTAATGAGCGGCCACACACAAGGACAGTTGAGCTGAAGAGGAGCACTCAGTTTTACAGCGTGATTAGATTATAGGAAAAGACAACAAAGGATCGACCTGAAACCATTCTGTCAGCGAGGACCTTTGTTCTGAGAGCCTCATTTTCTCCTTGTTCAACTGTACGCACTCACTATCTCGTATGTTCACACCGTATCGACCTGCTGTAGTTTTGACAGCACTTTAGAGCACTTTGCGCAAATGATACAAAGTTTAAAGCTATGAAATGAGTTGGCAAAGAACACGTTCACACCTATGTAAATCACGGCACTTAACACGTGCTGAATATCATTCAGAAAGTACATGAATAAACTAGCTTTAATAGCAGGTGAAGTACATGTAAGAAAGAAAAAAAGGGTTAAATTCAGTAACTCCCAGCAGATAATCTGATCATTTAACAAGGGAAAAAAATCTGAGGAACAGGAAAGTACACAGATAGATTGGATAGATTCATGTTTAATGAAATTTAATTTGACAAAACAACACCAACATGAATAATTTGTGTTTTTTTTCAATTTCAAAATTTAACAAGCGTGCCTGTTTTGGTCCACAGGCCCAATGTTTGACATCCCTGTAGTAAAGCATACCTCATTATCTTTACTCGTGGGATTTCGGAAATAGGATGTCGAACTGGCAACCTTCTGGAGGAAGGCAGGAGATCAATCACAGCACTACTTTAAACAACAAGCACAATCAAATTTATGTTAAATTGCATGTAATTCCGTCTCATCAGTCAAACAGGACCTGACAGAGGGTTAGTGTCAGCATAAACCCTGGACAGTGGATCACTGAGACCACAAAACATTTCTAAATAGGCTGCCACATATAATGCTATTTATGGCCAATAATGTTGCCAATGTTTTTAAAGGTAAATTACATGCTTTCATTATAGAAAATGAAGTGAAACAAGCCAGAGAAACTACGCAGATTGTTCGATCAAGCTGGGATTTAAACCAAGAATGTTTTCCTGAGTCAGGAAATTCAAGACTGCAAACCATTCCAAAGGAGATTCAAAACAGTCAGTTGTCCAATAAAAGTTAGTTTGACAACTTGTACAGTGACAAGTGGCTCCCAGTGACGTGCATGAAAAATCATTTTAGCTGCACTGTCACTCACGATTATGATTAAGCCCTTTTATACCTTTCAGTACAGGGGTAAATAAAACTCCAATTCCAACCTCAGATGCTCGTTCCCCTAAATGAAGTATTACTGCAGTGAGAGATGCCAGGACTGTGATTGAACAGAAGTGAAATGAAGGAAAGAGGAAGAGTGTTTCACACAGGGAACAGAACAGACAGATGGTGAAACAATGGGAGAAAACTTAAAAGAAAAAGACGTGGGAATAGGAGGAGAGCAAAGAAAACAAAGAGGATGGTCGGATGGATGGATGGATGAAGGAGAAGAGAGCGAGCAACTTAGGGATCCTGCAGCACCTGTGATGGATGAGCTGGAGCTCAGGTGTGACGGCGCCACCAAATTAAATCACTGAGCAGACAGCAATGAACGAGAGACAAGGTTATCACTTTCCTCCCTTTCTTCTCTTTTCTCTCCCCTGCTCTCTTCACTCCCCTCCTGGATGTCACCCACCCTCAGCGTCTGTCTCAGCAGCCCATTCTCACTTATCTATCATCAGCTCTTGGAGAGCAGAGGTGGCCTTCACTGAGTTACGTTGTACACAACTGAGTGTGGAATCTGTGTCAAGTACTTCTTGTTGATTAACATTAAAAAATCCAGAATAAAAAAATGTAATTAAAAAAAAAACATAGGCAAAAAGCACAGGTGCTTTCCAATAATATTTATCTTTATATATTGAGAGAACATCTGAACTAATTTACATCCATCACAAAAGAAAAAGTACCTTTTTATAAAATTATTTAATTTAATTTAATGATGCATGATTTGTTTTAACTTTGTATTTACATATTTTACCTACATATTACATATTACCTTCTCCTTAAATGACAGTTTAAAAAACCATCAGTATTTTTCAACATTGTGGTCGCAACCTCAAACAAGGTCACCTGAAACGTCTAACTGATTAAAAAAATGACTGATAAAAATATTATTTCAACTATCTCAACACTGAATTAGATGTTTTGTAATCTGCTGAGATCTGAAAATGTGTCTCAAAATGAGACCTTGAAATAATTCTGCCACCCCCACTACACTAGCTCCACCCATCTCTCCACCTGTCATCCTGCTTTTCTCAGACACATCTGCCAGACTGCTTTCATGTACAAATCAAAAGTGAAGCCCAGCTGCACATTTAACACAGTGCTAAATGAACACTAACTACGTGATGTAAACACTTGGGGGACGAGAAGTGTGGAACCATATTAATGTCCAATAAAGAAGCATAACATGACCTTTTAGGAAAAAACACGTGAGCCAGTCGGAGCCGATCCACCACAAACAGGTCACCAGTTCATCACAGGCCAAACACAAAGCAAAAAAAAAAAAACCCCAGAAACTGTCACCCAAAGTCAACATGAAGAAGCCTTTAAAATTCAACAGATGGTTCAAGCGAACCCAGCTCCAAAGAAATGTTCCCACACAAGTAAAGAGCATTCTAAATGACATTTCAACACTGACCACAGTTCAAGACCAATACATCAGGAGTTTAGCTGCGGATGTTGTGGTGTTTTGAGGGCATTCAAGTGTGTTTTTATGGGAAGACATTTGCCAAACAGCAGACCACAGTTCAAGATCAGTTAGACAACAGGAAGATGACGATCTGTGGAGGGATTTCAGCTGTTTTCCCCAATAATCTGGATGGGTTTTTTTTTTCTTCATGATTCAGGAGAGAAAAACATAATAATCTAACAATGTTATAAAAGAAAGGTTGGGGGAAATGATCATTTATTATCCTTAATTTTTGCTTTTTTTTGTTGACTACATATACAGTACACAGGCAATATCCCATACTGTTTTCGATGTCAACGTCAGATCAGTACATCTGCTGAATCATTCATTCAAGCTTAAAAGAACGTTAGGGTAATTTTATACATGACTGTGGAATCAATTTAGAGGAAAAAAGACAAAAAAGCATAACAGAAGAATATAGTCTACGTCAGCTGTATTAAAACATTTTTTAAAATATTTATCTTTTGTGTTTGCCAACCAGTGATCATGATAATGTAATAATGCATAAATAACTCACTGTACTCTTTTCCCTGCTGTGCATATTTTAAACAGTGAGCAAAGTGCACAACATGATCCATCATCATCGTTCCATTTCCTGTAATTTCTCTCCGTGTGATTAACGTTTGCACTGATCTACACAGTGATGGAGACACTGAGGGGAAACGCTTCCTGCTAAATACAAACTTGTTGACAGAGAAGTCTCCTCTAATGGCTGCTGTCAGCTCACCTCTAACCTTTCACCTTTGACCTACTCCTTGGCCTGACATTATGATCTGCTGACATACTGTTGGTGCTGACATCGAGGTCCCCTTGTCACTGTGTCACACAGACAATGGCTGGCTTGTATTGGAAGGACAAAGAAGAGTGGTGTAGATAACGCGTGGTTGTGACTTGAAACTTTTAAAAAGATGGATGTTACAGATAGAGCTGGAATGACCTCCAAGAAATGTTGACTCACTTTAAATGTGATGTATTCATTGATTTTCCTACTGTCTGTTAATGATCTCAATATTTTTCTTTTGAGAGTTGCAACATCAAAACTTCAGACAAGACATTGCCCTCGAAAATAACAGGCTCCTGACCTAAAGTTGAAGCCACCACAAATCCATGCTGGGAATTGAGATGACATTTTAAGCTCGAGGTGCTCCTGTGAAATTACAATCTCTCCTGCAGTGTTTGTAATGAGTGTAATGTCGCCTGTGTATGGTAGCAACAAAATGTTTTCTTAAAAAGAGGTTAATCCAAATTATTTTTCAACTTCAGCTACACCTTATACTTGCATTATATTTGTTTGTTATTGAATTTCCTTTACTAATGAAACTGAAAAATAATACATTGTATCAATTGTGACAGCACTCAATATTCCTCTTGGTGTCTAATGTAAAATACTTCATTTTCCTTATAAACAGTAATGCTCAACAGAAAACAATTTCAACATCAAAGTGGATATTTATTTGTTTATGAAAGGCTTTTTACGGGGTGAATTAAGTGGTATATGCTGTATATACATAAGATCCTATGGATGAAAGAGACTTGAATCTGTTTTCTCTTTATGTCCCCACTGGACGCCATGTTATCAATAAACACAAATGTCCGCTCCTCCGGCTGGTTCCCGGCTCTCACCAGGTCTCCATACTTCATACTTTACTTGATTCACACTTCAAAAACCCTAACCTACCCCTTTAGCCCTTCAGCATCGACAGCGGAGACTGTGGTTCTTTTTAGAAACATGATCTCAAACCGCGTGTTTATTGTGTTTTCAACACCTCCACATGGTTTCTGTTGCAACTGATAAACAAATTAGCAATAAATTAAAGGCTGAAGTTTTTTTTTCTGCAGTGTAATGTCGTACTCTGGAGTTGGGGCTAATTCAAACCATGATTTGCACAAATATATTTCCTCCAAGGCACTGACACACGGTTCATGCACACGCACACAAACACAACACAAAGAGTCATCATGAGCAGTCTCATTATGTTGTTGATTCTTGCTCTCCCTGCAGACACTGCTATTTACCCAGTGTCTGTGTGTAAGGGGAGTCTGGTAATGAGAGTGATGTGTGCAGAGGTACGTTCAAGGTAATTTGTTTGCTGCAGCCCTGATGGGAAGTGAAGGAATCCAAAGATTTAAACTGTAATCTTCCCCTATCGCCTCACCTTCATCTTTTTTTCAGCTAACTGTCTCATTTTACCTCCGTCTGGCTTTAATCCCTGATAAGATCCTCACCTTGACTCTGCATATTTCCACCCACACACATGCGCTCACGCCAAGGAAAAGAAAAGAACATTCCTGGGGGGCTGTCCCTCACCTGTGACCTTCTACTCCCTCATTAGTTCATTATGACCCCTGAACTCATCATGAGAAACCTCGAGGCTGTAGAAGTTTCCTGAACAGGTGGAGTCAGGTGACGGCCAGGTGTGGTTCACTGACTTCAGGCCAGCACTCACTTTCTTCCGACAGGTTTTTTCATATTCTTAAAAGCAGAATGTACATATTGACTCTGGTCCTTTGAAGAAGAAGAAGAATCACTTGTGGCTTATTCTTTCGTTAAGGGTTAACACCGCAGTAATTTAAATAATATATTCGTCACAGCTATTATGCTGGATATCTGTAACTACCCAGCGAGGCTGGTAGTTGGAAAATAATGAGTTTCACCACTGCACCAGCATCAACTCAAAGTGAAAAAACAATCTAGTGTCATAAATTGTGTCTAACTGTTGTGACTAAATTAAGGCGATCCATACGGTTTCATCTATGCCAAAAAATAGATGAAAGCTAATGCGTTTGTTCAAGGACTTCCCAGCTGTGGCCCATGTAGTTTGCCTGGTTCAAAGCCCTAACAACAAAGAGGTCAGCCTGAGTAAAACCACCAAAACATGCTGGGTAAGCCAAAAGTAAAAAAGTTCTGTTCTAAAGATAATGAAAAATTGTGTTAACGCAGGTGAAACGGTATGGCACTGCATCAGCAGCCATAATGTGGTAAAACTGCAAATATATAAAAATACCACTGATGCAGAGGTTACTTAAAAAATCTTTTAGAAACGTTTCTTTATAACAGCAATCACAAAGCCGCTCTGGCTTCCAATACAATCACACTGAGTAAAACTTTTCGCTGCAAAACTGCAACAATTAGTGTTTGGAGTTCTGGTACCATCACCAAAAAAAGTGTTTCAGCTGTGGTGCATTCAGGGGAACAACATAATAGATGACATTTGAGGGGTATCACATTATTAGAAATGCTCAGAATACATTAATTCAACACGGCTAAAAGCCTTGTTAGCATTCACACTTTGAGTGTGGATGTACAATTATGTGACAGGGTGAGGATGGGGGGGGGGGGGGGGGGGGGATGGCAATGGATGGAGAGAGGGAGAACAAAAGCAAGCAAAAGAGGGAGAACAGAGTCTTTCATGTCTCCCCTGGGTTTCAGAGGCTTCCCTTTCATGTGAGCATTGTCATATTTCCTCTGTTCTCTATCCATTTGCCCCACCTCTCTGCCAGAGAGTAAGACATCACTCTGTTAGTACAGACAGGGCAGTACAGACGAGCCACGTGCACTCACTGGAGTGCCTGTGTGCAGAGAGAAGTGCAGCAATATCATGTTAATGTGGCTTTAAAATGCATATGGAGGTGTAAGATTGATGCAGACATCTGTGTCCACTTCATTTTGCCCTCTTCTACAGTATGTTTTCCTGCCAAACACACCGTGATTAACGTTCTTCATTAATGTCTGTGGACAGCTTGCAGCACTTAGTGAAGGTAAAGGGGGGGAATTTTCAGCAAAAGCTATCACGGAGCACAAGGAAGGATCTGTCCACCTTTTAAATTTTTAACCAAGAGCCACGTTTATTTTCTGGTGGTCAGCAACCACCATTAAAAGGCAAAAGCCAACAGTTCAATCCTCCTGACAGGAGCAGCTAAATCGTGGTTGATGGACATCGGCCATTGTCTCAACCTGTCTATGTCATAAAACTGTGCTGTTTGTCAGTCTGTTGCAAACACCGCTCTGAGACATTTGGGACATGTCAATATCCATGAGAACAAATTAGACTGAAGAAAAACAGTGCATTAAAAATATTCTTAGAAAGATTTGCACCCTATTCAGGACACAAGTTCCTTGTTCAACAGCAAGAGGCTAAGTCAAGAAGTTCTAAGACAGATATTTCAGTGCCACAGAGTGTCCGATACTACTAAGTGAACATGTGACTACTGGGGAGGAATTCTCCAAAGGAAATATCAGTTTCTGTAGCGTTTTAGGTTTACATTGAAGATATATAATTAAACAGTAATTAGTTTTAATTACAGTTTTAAGTTGTTGTAATATTTTCACAGTAAAACAACAATATCTTATACTCTTAATCAGTACTTATGCAGCATAACTACTGAGCACTGAAGGTTCTGGTCCTACCTTCTCCGTGCTGAGTACTAAGGAAGGTCTTTAGGATGGGTTGTGTCGGGCGGGGAGCTCTGGTTTGACAAATGTCTGGAAATAATAAAAAAGAAATTCATAGTGTGTCTGTGGAAATGAATCATCATTATCAACACTGACATTTAAAGACAAAAAATATGCTTTTGTTCTTGTACACACAGCCAATGTCTGAAAAATATATCCATACATGTAGGTTCTGGAATTTGTAGTTCAGTTTGAACATTAGGCAATGACAATATCAAATTATCAAGCTTTACCTTTTTAAATATATGAAAACTGCATCTAAGAAGGCAAGTAATGCAAAAGATGTATTGACATGTTGCTGGTTATTGGTTTATACCATTTTTATTTAATGTACTACCTTGGGGGGCTTTCAGTGTCTTGGTGGTCACACTCCGTGCTAATTTTCTTTATAGTTAAGAATTCGGAGATATATCACAGCCTTCGTTTCATACTGTAGTCTGTAGTCATTGAACATGTGCCCGCAAAAACTATGAAAAGAAGCATGTTATTTGTTCTGTTCCAACATCACAATGGCAGCAATGATATGATACTGTTGTTGACTTAATGTCGCACAACGCGAAACACACAACGGATGCTAACGCTGCTAAAACAGTGGCGATGTTTACGTTTATTCAGACGGAGACCGACTAATGTAAAACACACCTGCTGTGTTGTTTGGGAACAATTACCCAGGGAATTGGAACTAAATTTGGAACGGACCAGGAGTTGGCAACACTGCTGTGACGTTCTAAAAGAACATGTAGCGCCACTTAGCTACACGACATACGTAGCAAAAAAAAAAGTCCGCGCCCAATGAAGCTTCACGAGTTCATTAACGAGCCGCGTAGCCACTTCCTTTTTTTTTCAAAATAAAATATTTATTGATTTCTAAATAGTTTAGTCGCACGACTGTTTCAGTTTTGCTTGTGTTTAATTATGCAGCGGTAATTGTCTGCATTACCACCAGCTCGTGTCCACTGGGGAGCACACGGGGTTGTCAATCACCATTACAGGGAGGACACGCGTCACCCTGGAAGTTCCGCCAGTGACTTTCAACATAAAATTATTTCGATCTGCTGAATCTGTTAACTCCAAGCAACTGTGTGACGCCAGTGTGTAAAATCCTTTAAATGAAATCACCTTTGTGAGACAAGGTTGACAATCAACGCAGCAGTAAAACATACTTACAGATTCTTGTGAGCTTGAACTGTGCCACAATTCTCTCCAGTATGATCATTAGTTGCAGTGAGTTGGTTGGTCAATTCTAAACTTCACCACATCTTTATTCTGTTCCATTTTACTTTAGAATAAGATACAGGACAGTCTTTTAATAGTATGAAAACGAATACTGTGCTCACAGAGGAAAGATGAAAGTAAACAGAGAAAAACAAGACAGCTCAATTTTGCCACATATTATTCATGTATTCCTTTTATCCAGACTCCAGTTCTATTTCCCATGGGCTGTGTCAGTAGCAAATTGGCTTGATTAGGGTGGATTTACAGGCTGGAAGACATCTAGGTTGAGAATGTTACATCGTCTAAGTAGGGCACTGGTGCACACACGTACACCTTTTGTGACCTCCCTCGCCTCTGTTGCCCCTAAAACCACTGATCACAGTTGGCACTTCCACCCACACACACTGATGTAGGTTTCTACTTTTTCTTCTCCTCTTTTTTTCCCCTTCAACTGATGAGGCTTTCTTTCCATTAGCGTGCGGTGGCCAAGTGTTTCCACAAAGCCCCCTTCTTTGTCGTCAGTGGCACCGGGAGTGTGAGTGTGTCACTGGTTACAATAAGTTCCATCTACTGATCTTAATTGAATCTGATGTGTTGTTTCTGGTCCCAGTGGGATGCCTGTTGAGCTTGGTTCTGTTCAGCCTCATTGTGAAGCAGGCCAAGAACTCTTGGCAGCAGTTGAGCCATAAAACACTTGCTTAAAGAAGCTTGTGAAAAAGGAATCGCCTGAAAATGATGGGCATTGTTGTTTTTACTGTTTTTCTAAACATTTCATTTCCAACTTCACTGACACATCGGTTAATTGCCAGACCTCTTGGAGAAGCCAACGTACAGCATATGGTACCTAACCCTCACCCCCCCCTCCAGCAACTCTTCCTCCACTGCTGCAGCAGCACTCACATTTTTTCCTCAGTTAGTGTTTTTCTCATTAGAAATGTCATTTAAACGCTGCATTTTAAGTTTTTATGGAAGCTTTTATAGGATTATGGAAGAGAGCTGCTGAAAATGTATTTATATATTTCATTGTGTTCGCACTCAGTTACATATCGACACACACACACACACACACATCACCCTGCTATAAATGCCCAACGCCCCTTCCCTGCTGTGACAGTTTTTGTTGGAATTTCCCACTCTGGTGTGGAACAGCTTTTGGAAGGACCTCAGAGTGGGGCTGAAGTGGCTGTAATTCAGAGGGAGGGGCCACTGAGTTCTTTTGGTACTAAGGATACAATCAGCCTCTTTTTTTGACAATTTAATGTCATAATACTCTCACTTATTGTTATCAAGGTCTATGTTGGTACAATCACAGAAGTAAGGCAAAGAATAGAAATGTGCAAAGTCATTTTTTTGGTTTATTCTATGTATCTATCAGTCACTTCTTCTGATTGGTCAATTCTTTGTGTGTTTATAATGGTTTTCAAGGGAGTGCTGGTAGATCAATTACAATAAAAACATTTAAAAAACAAACATAACTCTATTGTGTTTATTAGTGAACTTGAACTATAAAAATTCAATCATTTTCTGTCACTGAGCTACCAACATATAATGTATACAATGTATGTTTGGTTTACATATGTAAACATATATTTAACATGTCGGTGTAGTACCCCTGACATAGGCAATGCTCATATACAGTATATTTCACAAAGACTTGCAGTCATTCCTTACACAGCCTCTAACCATCCATTGGATAGGGTTCACCCTGGACTGTTGGTCGTGCCACATATTGAGGCAAACCAGCACAAACAAACACCTAACATTTATATACTCCATAGAGAAAGATGGACCTCAGCCTGGAACCATCTGTGTCCAAGACACACTTTAACCATCAACCTACCAATACGCAGGTCAACAAAGACATACTGTTTGGATGAAAATGAAGCTACAACTGACTGTAGTCCAGTTCAAGCGCTCTGCTACTGAACGTTAATTTAATTTACCGACTTAAGCAGAAGGAGCCAAAGTTTATGTTTCTACTGAAGAATGAAAATTAAGGAGCAGGCGGATGAGAAAAACAAAAAAGTCAGAACCAATGTCTTATTGTTGTGTTTGATGAGAAGCAAGCATTTGTGCCTTTTAGTTTTTCAGTAACTGGTCCCATATCTAAGACAGTTGACGACAGCAGCTTCAGCGCAGTAGTGGACAAGTTACCATGATTTAAGGCTGATAACACGTGGAAAAGAATTTTAAAAAAATAACTTTTATATTAATTTATGTGCAGCAAGATTGTGTTTTGGTGATGCTGAGGTCATGTTTCTTTAATAAAAGGCTGTTTGATGCTGGAACCTGTGTCGTGCTGGACATGTTGCAGGCGTTCTGCAGCACGGGCGAGGGAACATGGTCAACAGAGCCACGCTGAGAAACAAATGGTCGTCATTTCACATGAGCGGCCATGATGAGGAACAACTGTTTGTGGAAATACAGTACAACGTCAAAGGCATTACCATATGGAGCAAAAAGGAGGGGGCATGGGGGGGTTGTACTCTTGCATTGGAACATTGACGTATTGGGCAGGCGGCCTGACTCTGGTCCAAATGTCCTGTCATAAGTGATCAATACAGGCAGAACACACAACAGGACTCCAGACAACAACTACAACAGACCATGTCATGGTGCTCGCTACAATTAAAGAAAAACACAAGGGAAGAAAGACGGAAAAACCTGTGGCTAAAATCAATGTCATTCATGCTATTGTTGATATTACTGCTTAGCTGTAGTTCATAAAGGATCGCAGCAGAAACAGTAATGTTAATGGAACAGTTAATGAAATTCTTTGGAAATGAAGTGTGAAGTCAGGTGTAAATATATATAAAATGAAAATCCACAGCTAATCAATAATGAATGTATCAATTTATCAATTTATGTATGTTGTGTCCGACTAAAAAAATAATATTGTATGTTGTGTCCTATTAAAAATAATATAACTGTATTTTGTTGTTCACAAAATCTAAAAGCAACTGTATTTTGATGTTCACAAAGTTTCAAAAACTTAAGGTAACAAAGCTGCATTCATTTTAAAACATAGATATAGGAGATTAATAGCGACCCCTAAAGGCAGCATACACTGACATGTATTATATGTTGTGGTGCATATAAGTAATTCTGGGTGTGTACATTCTAGAATTATGTCATCACAAAAAGTTGCCAGATCCCTGTGAAGAACTGCAGAGTTATTCTTATAGAAATAAACCAGTCATCGACTGTGTCAAGAAAAATATACCAGTTGTTTTCAGAAGATATTTTTAATAAATCAATAGCCAGGAAGGTCAGGATTAATATTGTGGATGGTCAGCCTGTTTCCCAATGGTCGATGGAGTAATGGGAACCACGACTTTCTGAAAGGAAGCAGCGTCACTGCTAGTATTTGTTACAAACCTTAATGCACTGGTGTTTTTGGTTTTAGAGCCTCTGGTGGATAAAATACATCGACAAAAAGTCAAGTCACATGATATGAATAAATATGGATAATGCCTTGAATGTTTATAGAATGGACTGTATGTATGAATGTACACACAGAGGGCCATCCACCGACACATAACTGTTAAAACAATGTGGAAGAAAAATAAAGAAGAGCTTGTAGATAATTTAATAGATAAGAGTGATAGTTCCATAACTGTGTGGGAAAACATGGAGTCAAAAAGTGACAGATATGGTGCCCAGTAGGTGGCAGTAATGCAACTGAAGTTGGGTCGATTTGCTGATAAACACAAAAAAGAAGACCCTGGGCCGAGGGTGATTGATGGATAAGCTTACAATTTTAGTTATTTTTGCAACAATATATGTATAAATAAATTCCTTAATACCAAGTAGAAGCTCAAATTGTAGCTGTTGATGTTGCACCTAATTCAGTAAGAATGAGCCTGACATGTGCTGTGAAGGCATCATCACTGTAGGGTTGTATCTGAGTGTAGGAGTCAATGAACCATAAATGAACACTTTTAGTTCTTACAAGATGTTTATAAATGGTGAGAAATCAAGTTCATCTCAGCCTCTAAATATTCATTTTGAACAAATTTCCATGTAGATCCATGAGAAGAGATGGGGGGAAAAAAGAAGCAGGGAGCGGTCTCCTGTTATAGAATCTGTCTTCTATTAAAATCATCACTGTGGGAGCCCCAAACGGGCTGCGTCAGCAAAACATCAAGCGGGTGTTGAGAGAAAAACGTGAGAATAAGAGTGAGAGATAGAAAAAAAATGTATGAGGGTCATTTTGTGATGGAAGTTTTACTAAATATATATATACTATATATATATTATATCAACGATTAACAAAGATCTTGTGAAAAGACGTGAACATCACTGAGCCATGGGAGGCAAAATATTCTCCCATTTTTGAGTAACTGCTTCAAGATAGCGGCCCCCATAATGCCTCACTCTATACTGCTGCCATCCACTGATGCCAGCCCGCCCCTCAAACTGCACAAAACACTTCTTTGAATTAATGATTCCTCCTTCTGGCCAACAACTAATCGATCCACAAATTCTTCACTTGTGCATCACTTTTATAAAAATGACAGCTCTGTCGGCCGTAGCACTTTTCTGTGTGTGAGAGCCAATAAAGCAGCGTGTTTCATGCAGGAGTGTTG